ATATTTGCCTGGAGAATGCCGCTGTTTACAATGCTCATTTAATGTTTAAAATGCTCACAAGATTCGGCTGATCACTTTCATTTTCTTAGGTCAACCAAATAACCCAAGGAGTAAGCTTCTTGGAAGTGATGTGCCCTGAGTGGGAAAAGTCAAGTCTTGCTTGCTAGAGCAGCACTGCACACTCCAGCTCCTCTCTCTGTGAGGCCAGCCTGTTGAGATGATACAGAACACCAGCCACAGATCGAATTTTGCATTTTTCTAGTAGCCACGTTTAAAAAGGTAGAAAGAAACAGAGAAAGTCAATATTAAAATACATTTTATTTAATCACCGACGAGCATGACTAGATGTTCAAGGAAGAGGGAGAGAGGTGGCTGTGCTTATAAAAAGGTATCATGAGAAATCCTTGTGGTTGAGTTGTTCTGTATCTTGACTGTGGTGGTGGCCATACAAATCTAAGCCAGTAAATATAAATCCAAACCACAATGAACTATCACCTATATCCTCCAGAATGACTACTGTTAAAACAAAAAAAAAGTGTTGGTGAGTATGTGGAGACATTGGAACCCTTGTGCCCTGTTGGTGGGAATGTAAAATGGCACAGCCTCTATGGAGAACAGCATGATGGTTCCCCCAAAAATTAAAAATAGAATTACCATATGATCTGGCAATTCCACTTCCAAGTATATATCCAAAAAACTTCAAAGCAGAATCCCCAAAAGATATTTGCATACCTATGTTCATAGCAGCACTACTCACAACAGCCAAAAAGCGGAAGCAACCCAAGTGTCCCTGATAACTGAATGGATCCATGAAATATGTGATATACACACACTGGAACAACCTTCAGCCTTAAAAAGGAAGGAAATTCTGACATTCTGCAAGATAAATAAACCCTGACGACATTATGCTAAGTGAAATAAGCCCGTTATAGAAGGGCAAATATGGTATAAATTTCACTTATATAAGGTACCTGAAGTTGTCAAATTGATAGAAAATAGAATGATGGTTGTCAGAAGCTGGGGGGAGGGAGAAATGGGGAGTTATTTAATGAGTACGGAGTTTCTGTTTTACAAGGTGAAGAAGTTTTGGAGATTGGCTGCACAACAAAATGAGTGACCTGAACACTACTGAACAGTACACTTAGAAATAAATTGTTTAGGTGGTAAATTTTATGCTTTGTATTTTTTTAACTGCAATACAAGTTTATATTTCATTTAACCTATATATTTAAAATACCATTGCAACATGTAACCCATATGAAAACAATTAAACTATTTTGCATTCTTTTTTATTTTCTCAAAATCCAGTGTGTATCAACACTGACAGCACAACTCAGTTCAGACTAGTCCTATGTCAAGTGCTTAATGCTGTGCGTGGCTTCCCTGCTGTGCAGTGCTGAGCTAGACCTTAGCTATCACCACTATGTGGCAATCCTTACAGCTAGATCCAGGTAATTAAAAACATTTTGGCGGAGCAGAGGTCAGGATCTTTTTCTTGCTACCTGCCTTCTTAAACTATTTGTCCTCAGTTAAAAACTGCTCCTTGGAAAGGCTAACAGGCAGAGGTGGATTGACCCGCAACATCTCCTGGGCTTCTCCTCTTTGTCAGGCGCTCGCTAGCATCTGCAGGACATTATTCCCCGCCCAGGGAGCTCACAAACTAAAGGAGGGGTCAGACAATTACCAGCTATAAGAGAAGTACCCATAAGACACTGAGGAAAAAAAAAGAAGAAGAAAGCCATTAACTCCCATCTGTGAATTCCGATGTGCCAGGGAACAAGTATAAAATTGAAGACATTTACTAACATGACACTAGGGAGCATTCCTCCATATCCTGACTTTTCTCAACTCTTATTTTCAATCGTACCGACTACACTTTAGTGTACTGACTACGCTTTAATTTGCATTAAAAACACATATGGCATAAAACACTCATCCAAAAAGGTACTCAGTAAACCGACACATGTGAGTGATTTTGATAAAAATAATCAGTTATTCACTAAGGTATCATTTGTCAAGTTAATCCTCCCAGAGTGTAAGGAGACTAAAATTGAGGAAAAGTGAAAAAACTGCATCTGTTGCCCAACAGATAAATATATTCCTTGATTCCTTCAATCTGTCTTCAGAAAAATCAGAGACATAAAGGAAAATATGAAAATAGTATTAATACACGTAATTACTATACATTCCTCATAGGACTTTACTTTCTCATTAGAACAAAGATGCAAAAACAAAACTTCAAGACACACTGATGTCTAACCCAAGTTGCTAGCAAAAAACTGCTTTGTGGCTAAAGGAGCCCCTGGCTAAGGCGAACCTCTTTTTAACCTCACATTTGTGTTCCACTAGTTCAAACCAATCATAATGACTTCTTTGTGAAAAACGTATTTTGCAATATATTATCAAAAGCTTCATTGAAGAACTTCATGGATAGGGTTGAGTAAAGAATACTAAACAATGTCAAGAGAACCACTTATGAACTCAGCATTATTTCAGTGGTCTTCAGGCATGAACTAAGACTGTAGAATGTCCACAGAAAATTATGGACTACACAAATTGTAAATTTTATGCTTCAATTTAAGAAACTCACATCTGGCTAAGTTCTTTCCTCCCCCAACCACAACTCATCCTCTTCCAAAACAAATCTCCCAAAAACTTAACACTGAAAATTTACCTCGGGACATTAACTTTCAACCAAACTCCTTGTAACTTCTCAGTTAATCCTATGCATTAAACTCTTCATCACACCATCTACTGAAATGTAGCTAGTACTATAAAATTATACCTCAGGATCCACTACTTTACTTCACAGGTATAACCATTAACTGTGCATAATTATTTAGATTATGATCTTTGAAGCCCTATATCTTTCATCTCAAGTAACAGTGCTTAACTTATAATTAGCTTGTAAAATAGTATTTATCACCAAAAAAAGCATTCATGCCTGTCTTTACATTAAAAAATACACTATCTCACCCACTATTCCCAGTTCCAGGGAAGGAGAAGCTATTTCCATGCATTAACCTACCATCTACAGAGACCAATGTATGCATTTTGCTTGAAAGGGACCTGGTTGGAGAAAATAGCTCAATAACCACAAGTGTGAAGCTTTTGTTCTGAAAGTGTGAAAAGCTAATAGCTTCCAGAAGGTCTTTAAAGTACATGTGTTTCAGGATACACACCATAAAGCCCTTTTTAACTCATTTAGTAAGCAAGGATGTTATAGTAAGCAAGAATGATCACATATATGGGGGAGCATTTTCATGAGTAGAACAAAAACTATAAGCACCAAGAACTTCTAAGGCCGAAATGACTTCACGAGTAGTAGTAACAGCAATAATAAAACTTCCAGCTCCTTTCCCTAAGGAGGGGCCCTAAAAAAGTACCTCCTGGCATTTGGCAGGAGATGTGCAGCCAACATGTGTAGCTGCTGGGATGTTTGTCATTTCTGCCCACCACTTCACAGGTGTGCCCAACCTCTGACAAGTGACCGCTACTCTGAGGTTCTTTCCAATTCTGTAACATGGGCAAACACCTGCCCGATTTACCTCACTGAAGCCTATGAAAACAGAGCTAGATGGTATTTAGAAATGTCATTTTGTTCCAGTGTCTACTTTGATGGGTTTGTTAAGTTAGCCTTCATCATGAGGTACAATAATAGACTCTGTACTGGATTTCCTAATTGATAACTTTACCGACTTACTTCTATCTTGCTCATGTATGGCAAGCTAATCTCGACGAATGGTCAATGTGATTGACTCCTGATCAAGACATGAACCTTTTCCATTGGTGGGAAACAGCAAGTTGATCAACACAGACTCAGACCCTCACGACGGTTACCCAAAGTATGCACCCAAAGTCACATGCTGGAGGTTCAAGGGCCACATCAAGTCTGCAGATGTTTCTTTTCAGCTTGTACAATGTTTTCAAAATCTAAATTAGCTGTCAATGTTGAAACAGGGTATCTGGCATCAATTTTGCATTCCTGGGTTATCTTGCAATATAGGAAAAACCCACCCTGAGACCACATGTCCTCACAGCCACAATTAGGCGTGGCCCAAACACAGAAGGGGCAAATACTCTCCAATTCACCAGTCTCCACCAGCTCAGTTCCTTCCATGATTTTGCTGCGGGCCTCTGTGGTATTTATGTTAGCCACTCTTGGTTCAAACCCTACAACTGCCTTTAATCCCTGAAATAAAAACCGACAACCTAATCCGATTAGCACTATGTCCAAACCCTCTGAGCAAGAAGTGTAAAGAGGAATTTAAGCAGAAAACAAACCATTTTCATGGTTCTATGTTGGTACTGCTTTCACGAACTCGTTCATTTTTTTAAAAGTGCCGTTTTCAAAAATGATTGTCATCTTTCTTTACACTTTTGATTATTAAGCTATTTTCTGTAAACGATGAGTTCCCTTTCAAGCAAAATGTCATTACTATGTAAAGCCTGGTGGTTAAAACATGTCGTGGTTACACGCTTTTGCTTAATGAAGGCAGACCTGAGAGCTAATGTTTGGACCTCAACTCATCACTGTCACAAAAGTTAATAACTTTGTAAAAATGTTGGCTTGGGCCATGCGTGGTGGCTCACGTCTGTAATCCCAGCACTTTGGGAGGCTGAGACAGACAGATTACAAGGTCAGGAGACTGAGACTATCATGGCTAACACAGTGAAACCCCATCTCTACCAAAAATGCAAAAAATTAGCTGGGCGTGGTGGCACGCGCCCGTAGTCCCAGCTACTCGGGAGACTGAGGCAAGAGAATTGCTTGAACCCGGGAGGTGGAGGTTGCAGTGAGCTGAGATTGCACCACTGCACTCCAGCCTGGGCGACAGAGCAAGACGCGTCTCAAAAAAAGTTGGTTGATAGTTTGACACATCCTCCATTCCCATCAAAACGCAGAATAAATCAGTTATGGGATTTTAAATGTCACACACAGTCTTCAAGCAGATTCAACCATCCACACGTCAACTGCCTCTTACCCAGGCATTGCTTACCCATTGCACTGAGATAGTGGTTGAAGGCCTGGCAAGGAGGACTTGGGGTTTGTGTTGATTTGTCACAACTCATGGGTGCTGGGCTCCTGTCTGTGTCAAAAGAGAAATACCCACTGGAGGATCGAGACAGCAGGGAGGATCTTCTCATAAAGATGAAAAGCGGGGATCTGGTAGCAAAAGGGCCAGGGCTGGCCGGTGGGGCCAGCGGGCCCTGAGGGCTGCCGTGGGGGCAGCTGTCCCCTTCACCTCCGTGATTGCCTTCGGGATTACCTTGTGGCTCTGTCTGTAGGGAGGTAGGGGCCCCAGGTCTGAGCTGGGGAGGCCTCTCCGCAGGCTGCAATTGTCTACCTTCTCGGTCACACTCAGAACTTACATCAGAAGGTTGCTTTGCCATTTGGTCTTTTTTTCTGCAAGTAAAATAAAAACTAAGATTATTTTAAGCCAAAAAAAAAAAAAAAGAAGAATAAATCAGCTCTTAGGGTGAATCCCAAATACTTTATGTTCTATACTTTTCCGACAATCTCCCAAATAAAAAAATTGCACCTAAAATAATAAAGGTATAATTTTTTTTTGGTAGAAGGTGGGATTAAACTTCGTACCCCCAAACAAAATACAGTAACAATGTCAACAGCTTGAGGAACTGGTGCACACACACGCGCGTTTCCAGAAAAGTAGTTAATCTGAAGTCTATTCGCGTGTGCTCTTTGCCCAGGACGGACTTGGATAAGTCAGAAACTCCCAGCGGCTCTGACTTCCCGGCGTTAGGTAGGACGCTGGAGCAAAGGAGCGGGCGCAGACGCAGCGATTGCAGGCGGCTGGCCGCGTTCCCTGCTCCGGCCCCATTGTTTGCCGAAAATGCTGAGGGCAGCAAGTCTGGGGAAGGTTTGGCAGCGGCCGTCAGTCGTAGTAAGTGCGTCACAATAGAGTTTGTAACTCCAGCGCGGCTCGGCCCGGCTCTGGCGCTCTCTCCGCCCGTGGTCCCTCCCTCCCGCGGTTCCTCCCTCCCGCTCCCGTACCGCGCGCCGCACCGAACCAGACAGAACTTCACTGAGGTGCAGCGGCACCGTTAGGTGCACACCCCTAAATGGGGAGGGGGGGGGAAGAAGCCAACCCCTGCAAAGTCTCCAACTAGGTCCGCAGGCTAGGCGACACCGGTGCGCACCCCCTTCATCCCACAGACCCTCCCCTCAGAAGGCAATCAAGCCGAAACTCACGTCCGCGCCTTCCCTTCAGAGCGTAGCGTCCGGGCCCGCGCCCGGGCCCCGGGGCGTCTGGCCCGCGCCCTTCGCCGACCCGGCGCCCCCTGACCGTCACCACGAAGGCAGCGCAGGAAACAAAGCTCTGGACTTGGGTTCAGAGTACCCGGCGCAGCGCACAGCCCGCGCCTTCCCGCCAGTCCGCCGCCGCACTCCGCCGGGCAGCCGAGGGCTCCGCACGCCGCGCCTCTGGCCCGCGCTGCCCCGGCCGCAGCCGCCGGGAACATCCTCCGCCTCCTCCCGCTCCTCCCCTTGCGCTCTGCGCCCGCCGCCGCCGCCGGCACCGCCGACCTCCCCGCGCCGCTGGCGCCGGGTGCCCGCGCTCCCAATTGGTCCGCGCGCGGTCGCTCCGCGCCGCAGCCAATCGGCAGCCGCGGTGGGGGCGGCGCCTACGGGTCAGGCCGCCAAAGGCGAGGCGATTGTTGACAAACTCGCCTCCGAGCGCAGCTTGGGCAGTGGTCGTGGCGGCGGCGGCAGCTTCGCCGGAGGATTTGGGGACCGGCTGGCCCGACTACTTTGCCCATCCCTGTGCTCCTTCCAGACACAAGCCTTAGCAGCTCACGCCGCACTGGACAGCCAGTCACCTGGAGACAAAGCAGGGCTTGCGCCGCGCCCGGACCCGCAGGGCCATCGCCAGGCCCAGTCCTTCTCGCCACTTGTCCTTGTTTTGGCCCGTCGGGGGCAGACCCCAACGGCCGTCACCGCCCTGGCTGCGGCAATTATTCTCCTCCAACAACTTCCTCTCTCTTTCTCCTGGTGCGCCGCAGACACGAGTCAAAGCCGAAGAGCCACCCCCGGCCACGGACGCGCACGTCCGCGACCATCGAGTAAATCCACATCCTCCGCCCTGGCGTCCGTCGGGCCCTCCACCAGCAGCGCCAACCCTGGGGCAACAGGTCCCAGAGGGCACGGCGCCGCTAGCCTGCACCACGAACCGGGTCGGGTGTGCTCGGGCACGCGTGAGCCGCTAAGATAGCCTGGCCCCAGGGACCGCGCAGGTTCTGCTGGCCGCGGCTAGTCCCCTCCGCGGTCCAGGTGGTCAGGGGAGGACCTAGATCTCTCGCTGTCAGTGGATCGTGTGGATGGCACTGTCCGCAAGACTCCTGCAGAGCAAGCAGGGGCCCCAGGTACGCTTGAGAAAGCGAATGCAACAGCGGCCCCGAAACCTTGGCCTGAATGAGTAAAAGGAAAAGCCCTGTCTCGTCAGTTAAATCACCACCGCAGTTCCGCAAATCCTCCGCAACAGGCCCGCGCGCCCAAAAAAACCAAGACGCGAAACACGCTCTCACTGCGCGGCCGCTACCGTTGGGGCGCCGGAGCCGGCGGCGAGACTTTCCGGCTGGGCGCAAAGCCGGGTACTACGAGCCGGTCCTCAGCTCCCAGGCCGGTGCCGAAAAGCACGCGCTGCCTCTCCTCCTCCCCGGACGTGCGACCCTTCACCAGGCCCGCGCGAAGCATCCCGGCCCAAGCCGCACTTGGCCAAGAGCCCGCAGGCTCCGCGCGAACGACCTTTCTCTAAAGAGAACCTGCCCGAGGGAACCCGACCCACATGGATCCCCACCTCCCGCCGGCGACAAGCGGGGCCGATGCTAGCGTCTCCGCTCGCACGTGCACGGGAAGCGGGCAGTAGGTGGTGGCGTTCGGGCTCCAGCGCTAGTCTTACATCGGTGCCAGGCCCCCACCGCGGGATTTGGAGGTATTTACCTTGCGTTTTTCAGTCCGAGAGTCAGAGTCAGACATTTGGGGGAACAAGGGCCAAGGGAAGGGCGCCGAGGCGGTGGCGGCGGGAACTCAGCAAACCGAATACCCCGATGATGCGATCGCAGTGTGGCAGGGTTCGCAGGGTGACTGCAAGAATCGACTGGTGGCAGTGGCGGCGGCGGCGGCGGCGGCAGCGGGCTGGACGCAGACCTCCAACAAACTGCAGACCCGGCGGCGGCGCAGAGCGAAGTGAAACCTGCGCTGCCTTGCAACCCAGCTCTGGCTGGCGGCCCCGCTCCTGCGCCCAATCACTGCGGACCCCGCCCCCGCTAGGTCCCGCCCCGGCGCGCGGGCTGGCAAGCTCCGCCTCCGCGGCGCCTAGGCCGCCGGCGCGTGCAGGCTCGGACAGGTAAAGGCGGGGGTGGCCCCGTTGGGTTGCCTCCCGCGCGCGCCGCCGTCCCTGGCGTGTTTACCGGAGTGACTCTGCCTGCTGGCGGCCATGTGCGCGCCCATCCCCCACCCCGAAGTGTACCCTGGCCTCCCGCTCACCTCCCCCAACCCTGTGGCGGCCCCGGCGTGCGCGGCACAGAGGGGGCGCTCCGGTCACAGCCTCCGCTGGCCGAGCCCGCGGTGGAAAGTCTCAGGAGGTGCCCTGCGCCCTCACTGTGCCCTAAGTTTCTAAGCCGCTCTGGGGCAGGCGCGAGGACTGGGTCGGTCGTCGGGAAGGCGCGGGGCGAGGTCTTTGAGCTCTCCTCTCTCTGAGGGTCCCTGGCGCCGGGCGGGACGCGGATCAGCTGGCTGCGCATCTTCCTCGCCCCGGCCTCTCGCGGGACTCAGGCACCCCCCTCCTGCCACCCCGCAGGGGCGCTCCAGCTTTTCTTCCGCGCCCAGTCTCCCTAAGAGACAGAGCCCGTGGGGGCAGGACGTGCCCAGAAAATGGCCAGGCGCGGTCCCAGTGGGCGTCTTCGCCGCCTCCTGGGTGAGGGCGGGAGGCATGTCAGCAGAGCAGGTAAAATAGGGAAATGAAAAAGGCACTCAGAAAAAAAAAATCCTTTTAGGAAAAAAAAAACACAAAAAACTGAGGTGAGTGGCGGCCTCCAAGTGAGAGAACGTTGCGCACTACATTCGGCTAGGACCCCCAAGATTTGCTGGGCTCGCAGATTACCTCGTAGGAGCTGTCCCTGGACGGGCTGAGGCCAGTGAGGGCAGAACGGCTGAGTTCGGGACGCGGTGCGGGAGCGCAAAATACCCCGTTCCTCCTCCCCGCGCGGCCCGCCCCCCATTCCCTTTCCTCCTTGGAGTCGGCGGCACCACACTCTCTGCCTCCCAGGACACCAAACTCCACGCCGCCTCTCCAGTCCTCAGAGTCTGCACCCGGGTCTACTCTCCCAACGCGTGGCTGGTGCCCCCAACCCCGGCCCTCCTGTCTGCTCCTCGCGCGCCTCAGTTCCCCAGCCCTGGCTTCTAGATTACGGCAGCGGGGGTGTGGGAGGTGGATCGAGAAATGGAGCATCCCGAAGGTGAGGTCAGGCTAGATGGATTAAGAAAACTCTGTAAAGGGACCACCCTACCCACCAGCGCAGCCAGCGGGGAGAAGGAAGGGGCCTTGTTGTAGAGGAGCAAGTGAGGAGGTGCTGTCCTGCCGTCCGGCCACTTGGATCAGTTTTTAAATTCATAAGCGCTTCTGTAACGTCAGTGGGACACAGCACAACCTCAGGCCAAAGTCTCAGCGCATTTTCGGGTGAATTCTGAGCGAGGTGCAGGAGGCCTTGGGTTCCCGGAGTCGCTGGAGGACGCGCGTCGGGCCCCGCCCAGTTATTTCGCTGCAAGAGGGAAAAGGCACGGGCGTGGACACGGCTAAGTAGACTCGGAGGCCGGAGATCTGTCCTAATGGGGCCTCGAAGTTCCTACTGCGGGCGAACTTTGCTCTTCGGCCGTCCGGCGTCGCAACTGGGGAGAAGCAACGCGACCTGCTGTTTGGGCTGAGAGCCTGAAGGTAGCCGAACGCCGCAATGCTCCGCGCTCCCCGCGGGGTCGGGCGACTCAGACAGGGACCGGAAAAGAACCACGCAGAAGAAAGTCCTATTTCTTGTCGTCTGTTCCTGTGCAGCCTTGCAGCCTTGCAGCTTCGCCGCCCCCGCGTCGCTCGCTCTCGCGACCCTGTGAACACTTTGAAAAACAAGAGAGTCGGGGGGAAGCAACGGGCTAAGTGCTCCTATTTGGGGCACTAAAAGGAAGCTGGCCAGAGGTGGCGGGTTCATATGTCCCCCGAGACCCAGGCCGCGTCGGGGGCCTCGAGCCCTTGCAGCCTTCTCCCGCGGCGTGGGGAGATCCTCCCGGAACTGGGCCAGAGCGCAGAGAACGCAGAGACGGGCCCATGGGTTTTAGGTCACCTCCCTCGCAGTGGACGCGGGCAGAGCGGTGCCAAGAGACGTGGAGGGAGGGAGAAGGGAGGATGATTTGGACTGAAAGAAACAAGAATGAAGTCGGGCAGCTGGGATCTGAGAAATGGGAAATCCATGGCCCTTGCCCGGGACCACAGGCGGTGCCGTGGTCTCGCCTAGTTCCGAAATTGCCCAGGCCCGCCTCCCCGCCGTCTGCAAGCAGCGAGAATGACTTCCACATCGCTTAATTTCTTTATTAAACTTTTCACCTATGCTCTTCTAAAGGACAGATTACAGCGTCAGATGGTAAAAATGTTTTCCGCGCCTTGTCTTGCTGTACGGAAACCGCCGGCCTGGAAGGACATGCCGAGTTCTTGTTTTGCCGAGAGCAAAACTCTAGGCTCCCATTTCCTTCTCCCAGTCCGTGCGTTTCCTTGCAGAGCCCCAGAGCGTCTGATTCACTGAAAAAGCATCACTTGCTGAACCGAACCTTTTTGCTCGCTCACGGAAGAGTGGAGCTTTTTTCTTTTGTCTAAGAGTGTTTGCTTTTTTTTTTCTTTCACTCGGCATCACAGTTTTTCTAAATCACTGGGAATGTGAGTCACCGCTAACAGCAGGAGACCTTTGGCGGCACCCGGCTGTGGGGCGCGCTCGCAGCGGGGAGCCCACCCTGATTGTCTAGGGGATCGGGCACAGAAGTTGGGAGAGGTTGCAGTCAGGCCAGGCTGGGTTTCAGGGAAAGCGCAAAGAGATCCAGCGCAGCAGGCGACCGTCTTGATCTGTTTTCTAGCAGCCAGCGGCGCGCCTCGCCAGCCTCGGCGGGACCTTCGCTTTGCCAGCAAAATCCCCCCGGCCTCGGCCACAGCTCCGGGCGTCAGTGGAGCGAGCGTCGTGGCAGCTGCAGGCGGGTCACCACACTTCCCGCCACACCCGTTAGAGCTTGGCTCCCAGCTTGGGCCGCTGGGAGCGCGCCCCTTCCCGTGGCAGCGGCTGCAGCGGTGCAGGGTAGAAAGCCCACGCGAACCGCGGGTTGGAGATTCCGGCGATTGGTGCGTGGAGGTTGGTGTGTGGAATGTTAAAGGCGGGGATCACCCTCAGGGCATCATCCTTCACCGAGTCGCACACATCCAGCAACTGCAAAACACGACACAATGGGACAGGTCAGATGTTGGCACACTTACAAGCCGTTAGTGCCAGCGGCTTT